CCACGGGGACAGCCCTGTGGGTAACCCTCGGAACGGGGCTGTCCTGCTGTCCCCCTTCGGCCAGACCCAACGTCCTGACCATCAGCAGCGGTCGAGCTGCCTGTCCCCCCGTGCCACCCTTGCCCATGGGGACAGAGCTGTGTCATCAATAATGGGTGCTGGGGCAGCCCCCAAAAAAGTGCTGCTCCCTTGTTGCCTCCCTGGACCACCCGCAGCCCCCCATCCCTGAGGCCACCAGCCCAGTGGTGACATTTTGCAGCTGGATGCCATCATAGAGGGACATCCAACCTCACGCCGTCAGCCCTGGTGCCTTCCCTGCCTCAGCCTTTCCTTGTTATGAACCCAATTTATATATTTGATCTTTCCCTGCTGAATATTTTAGCATCATTCAGAGCTTTTGGCATCACTCGGAGCCAGAGGCTGAGCACCCACCACACAGGGCTCTCCCCCCGGGGCCATCCACACCCCACCAAACCCCATCCCGGCGGGGGATGCTACCCTGCAGCCGGCTCTGCCCCACGGCCACGCACATACCTGCAGTGGATGACGATGGGGCCAGCGTCGGGCGGCGTGGATGCCTTCCCCCTGCGGATGAAAGCCAGCAGCCCCGTGGCGTGGTAGGGGACACCATGCTCGGGCCACGACGTGAAGTGGAACTGCTTCACCTCGTGTCGGGCCGAGTAGCCCCGCTGCAAGGGAAGGGTGAGATGGAGTGAGGGTGCAGGGGGAGGGCAAAGCCACCCAAACACCTAATTTTCTTGGGAACCCATGGTTTTACCAGCTCAGCATCCAGCCAGATGGACCACACGGCGGTCGGCTGCTTTGACAGCCCTGCAGTTTCCTCCTCCTTGGCTGCAAGAGGGTTAAAAACCAGCCGAGGAGGAAGAGGAGGAGGCGGCGCCACCCACCGGACTAATTCCACGAGCATCCTTGCTACCTACCCTATAACTAGACAGTAATTTCACATTCCTGTAGATTAAGGGGTAAATCGCACCGGCTCCATCGCCAGGTACCGCGCCGGAGAGTAATGGCCACATAACCTGCACTCCAGCCCCGAGGAGAAAAAACATCCTTCACCCCTGTTGCAATTACATGGTGCTCCCACAGAAATTAAATACTCACTCACTGCCGAAACCAAAGCGGGGCTGAGCCACTCGCCCTGGCGGAGGGTGCAGAGCCGGGGAAAAGGCAAAGGAAGAAGCTACCAGCATCCCCAGGGCTCAGAGGTTGCACCTCAACCGGGGGTGAAAGCCCCATGTTGGGGTAAATAAACAGGGTATTGGTATCAGAAAATAGTATCAGCCTGTATCAGAACTAGTGTGGCCAGCAGGAGGAGGGAGGTGATCGTGCCCCTGTACTGGGCACTGGTGAGGCCGCACCTCGAATCCTGTGTTCAGTTTTGGGCCCCTCACTACAAGAAGGACATTGAGGTGCTGGAGCGTGTCCAGAGAAGGGCAACGAAGCTGGTGAAGGGCCTGGAGCACAAGTCTGATGAGGAGCGGCTGAGGGAACTGGGGCTGTTCAGCCTGGAGAAGAGGAGGCTGAGGGGAGACCTCATCGCGCTCTACAACTACCTGAAAGGAGGTTGGAGCGAGGTGGGGGTCGGTCTCTTCTCCCAAGTAACCAGCGATAGGACGAGAGGAAATAGCCTCAAGTTGCGCCAGGGGAGGTTTAGACTGGACATTAGGAAAAGTTTCTTTACTGAAAGAGTGGTCAGGCCTTGGAACAGGCTGCCCAGGGAAGTGGTGGAGTCCCCATCCCTGGAGGTATTTAAAAGACGTGTAGATGAGGCGCTTGGGGACATGGTTTAGTGGGCATGGGGGTGTTGGGTTGACGGTGGGACTCGATGATCTTAGAGGTCTTTTCCAACCTAAACAATTCTATGATTCTAGATGCCAATCTAGCGATGGTTAGAGATGCCCAAGGCGATCGGCTCTCTGCCTGCGAGGGCAGAGTCGGGCAGGTCACGGCTGGCAGGAACGGTACCGTACCCTCTCGAGAGCAAAGGTGCGGACGGCGTACTCGGCCAACGTCTCTGACTTCACCAGGGTGATCTTGATGTCCCCGTACATCTCGGAATCATCCGGCCAGTATTTGGAGCATTTCACCTGCAAGGAGAGGACGGGATGGGGTTTTGGCTCTGCGGAGGAGGCTTCTGGCAGAGCTGCAGCCTGGAGGGAGAGGGATGGGGTGGGGTCCTTACCCGGCCCACCTCCACCAGCTTGGTTATCATCACGATGCTGGAACAGTGCTCCTGCCACACCATGCGCCAGAAGTCATACACCATCTCCTGCTTGGGCCCTGCGGGATGGAGGAAAGGCCATCGGGGATGGACGGGCAGCGCCAACGGAGCCCGGCCACGGCAGCGTCGCAATGCCACCGCGTT